TGCATTACGGTCACTGACTGATTGACATAGTTGTTCTCCCAGAAGCAGTGCCGGGGGGTCGTGACGATGTATGGGGGAAGTGTACCTCTCGCTAGGGTGACCACGAGAAAATTCCGAAATTTGGGAAAATCCAAGATGGCGGACAAAGATGGCGGCTAACTTTTACAGTTTCGCTCGGATCGATTCCGTTCAAAGAGTGATTTGGCACGTCTCGGCGGGACCCAGAATATGGCGTAAAAACAAAAAAATAAAATCCAAGATGGCGGCGAAAAAATTGCCAAAAACTGGTTGAAAATTTTCTAGGGTTTCAAAAACCGAAATTCCCAGGGTAGTTGCGGGGGTGCTGGCGACTCCGGTTGTGTGGCTTAGCAAACTCGAAGGACCCGGCCTCTAGGGAAAATTATGAAATTTGGAAAATCCAAGATGGTCGCCGAGTTGGGGGCGTGTGAATTTGGTCCTAAAAATCCGGATTATTTTCAAAATCATTTTTTAGGTACAGGGCAACCCCGCAGCGAGTCGGCTTCTATGGGGCGATGATGGATCTCGGTAAGAAGTATTGCCAGCGCTAAAAAGAATTCCCGAATTTGGGGTAATTTGGGAGAAATGGTCCAAAAAGTGGGAAAAAATTTTTTCGACATTTTTGACAAAAGAGGCATCAAGGCCTATCGAGAAACATCCCCTAAAGGGTTTTAGGTGGGTTTTGTTGGAATTTGCTGGCAACACCCATACATGGTTTGACCAAAATAGAAATTGGGGTGTCTCTCCAAAAACTGAAATTCCTAGGGTACTTGCGGGGATACTACCGATCCCTATTGTAGGGCAGTGGGAGGCTGAAAGACCCGGCCTCTAGGGAAAATTATGAAACTTCAGAAATCCAAGATGGCGGCCAAGCTATGGGAGATTTAGTTTTTGGAAAAATTTTGGGATATTTTCAATCGCGTTTTTGCTGCACATGGCAACCCCGTAACTAAACGCCACCTACTGACATGGGTAAGTCTCAGTAAGAAGATTTGCCAGGGCTAAAAATTTTCCCCGATTTTGGGTTAAATTTGGAGAAAAGTCCCATAAAGTGGGAAAAATTTTTTTCGACATTTTAAATGAAAAAGTCTTGTTGGTCTACCAAAAATCGTCCCCTGAAGGGTTTTAGGGGAATTTTGTCAGAATTTGCTGGCAACACCCATACATCATGGGACAAATTTTGAAATTGAGGTCTAGCTTCAAAAACTGAAATTGATAGGCTACCTACGAGTGTGCTAGCTCAACGCACTGTGCGGCGTCGGATAGCCGAAGGACCCGGCCTATAGGGAAAATTATGAAATTTTAGAAATCCAAGATGGCGGCAGAGATAGGGGAGTTTTGCTTTTCGGAGAAAATTTGGGATATTTTTAAATATAGTTTTAGGACACTTGGCAACCCCGCAGAGAGTCGACTTCTATGGAGAGATGATGTATCTCCACACAAAGTATTACCTGGTATAAAAATTTTCCCCGATTTTAGGGTAATTTTTGAGATAGGTCCTAAAAAGGGGGAAAATGTTTTTTGGACATTTCAAACAAAAGAATGATGAAAATCTGTCAAAAACAATCCCCCTATTGATTTTAGGTGGTTTTTGTCAGAATTATCTGGCAACACCTTACATCAGTTTTCTTAGAGATTAGTACTAGAAGGAGTCACCGAGGCTCTATACAATATATGAACGAAATGTTTCTGTCACTACGGTGAATACGTCAAAAGTATTAAAAAGTAAAAATCTAAGATGGCGGCCGAGTTAGGGTACTTAATTTATGTTGACAATTTTAGGGACTTTTTAAAATTCAATTTTGGGGTACCATTTATCCCTGCAGCGAGTTGACTTCTATAGAGCAATGGAAACTCTCGGTGGAAAATTTTACCTGGTCTAAAAATTTTCCCCGATTTTGGGGTAATTTCGGAGAAAAGTAAAAAAACGTGGGAAATTTTTTTTTCGTTAAGTTGAACAAAACAGTTATGAGCGTTGGTCCAAAATCATCCCCCAAAGGGTCCTAGGTGGTTTTTGTCAAAATCTCCTGGCAACACCATACATCGATTTTCATACTAAACCGTACTATTGATAGGGTACCTACGAGTGTGCTAGGTCAACGCACTGTGCGGCGTCGGATAGCCGAAGGACCCGGCATCTAGTGAAAATTATGAAATTTTAGAAATCCAAGATGGCGGCACAGATAGGGGAGTTTTGCTTTTCGGAGAAAATTTGGGACATTTTTAAATGTTGTTTTAGGACACATGGCAACACCGCAGCGAGTCGACTTCTACGGAGAGATGATGTCTCTTGACACAAAGTATTACCTGGTATGAAAATTTTCCCCGATTTTGGGGTATTTTTTGAGACAGGTCCTAAAAAGTGGAAAAATTTTTTTTCGACATTTCAAACTAAAGAATGATGAAAATCTGTCAAAAGTCATCCCCTTAAGGATTTTTGGTGGTTTTTGTCAAAATTATCTGGCAACACCTCAGATCAGTTTTCTTAGGGAATAGTACAAGAAGAAGTCACCGAGGCTCTACATAATGTATGGACGAAATGTTTCTGTTACTAAGGTGAATACGTCAAAAGTATTAAGAAGTAAAAATCCAAAATGGCGGCAGAGATAGGGGAGTTTTGCTTTTCGGAGAAAATTTGGGATATTTTTAAATGTAGTTTTAGGACACTTGCCAACCCCACAGCCAGTCGACTTCTATGGAGAGATGATGTGTCTCAACACAAAGTATTACCTGGTATAAAAATTTTCCCCAATTTTAGGGTAATTTTTGAGATAAGTCCTAAAAAGTGGGACAATAATTTTCGGACATTTCAAACAAAAGAATGATGAAAATCTGTCAAAAACAATCCCCCTATTGATTTTAGGTGGTTTTTGTCAGAATTATCTGGCAACACCTTACATCAGTTTTCTTAGAGAATAGTACTAGAAGGAGTCACTGAGGCTCTATACAATGTATGAACGAAATGTTTCTGTCACTAGGGTGAATACGTCAAAAGTATTAAAAAGTAAAAATCTAAGATGGCGGCCGAGTTAGGGTACTTAATTTATGTTGACATTTTTAGGGACTTTTAAAAATTCAATTTTGGGGTACCACTAAACGTTGCAGCGAGTTGACTTCTATAGAGCAATGGAAATTCTCGGTGGGAAATATTACCTGGTCCAAAAAATTTTCCCGATTTTGGGGTAATTTCGACCAAAAGTAAAAAAACGTGGAATTTTTTTTCGTCAATTTGAACAAAACAGTGATAAGCATTGGTCCAAAATTATCCCTCAAAGGGCCCTAGGTGGTTTTTGTCAAAATCTCCTGGCAACACCATACATCGATTTTCATAGTAAACCGTACTAAGGAACTCTTAGGTGTATGTAACCTGGGCTCTGTACAATATATGGATGAAATGTTTCTATCACCAGTGTATATGTTAAAAGTATTTAAAAATAAAAAATCCAAGATGGCGGCCGAATTAGGATACTTTATCTATGATGACAATTTTAAGAACTTTTTAAAATTCAGTTCTGTGGCATCATCCCTGCAACGAATTGACTTGTATTGAGGAATGGAAACTCTCGGTGCGAAGTATTAACTAATTTTCATAGTAAACAGTACTAAGGAACTACTAGGAGTCACCTTAGCTCTGTACAATGTATGGACAAAATGTTTCAATCGCCAAAGTGGATAAGTTAAAAGTATTCAAAAAGGAAAAATCCAAGATGGCGGCCGAGTTCGAGTATTTTATCTCTGATGATAAATTTAGGAATACATTTTGGGGTACCTGGCTTCCCTGCAGCGAGTCGGCCTTTATTGAGCCATGGTAGATTTCGGTTTGAAATATTATCTAGGCTACAAATTTTCCCCGATTTTTAGGTAATTTTGCAAACCCAAAATGTGGGAATTTTTTGTTTCGACATTCTAACATAAGAGTGACGGGGATCTATAATAAATCTCATCTTAATAGTTTCATGCGATTTTTTTGTAAAATTAGGTGGCAACACTAAGCATACATTTCTGTATACTAATACAGAAAGGTAGGTAATGTGAGGTTTTGTATTGTGACCATTGCAATACAAAGTTTCGCCACAGGATGGTACACGTGAAACAAAAATTCACTGTTACAATAGGAAGTCACCTAATCGTATCAAAACAGACAACTCTACTTGCCAACCAAGTCTATTCGAAAAGAAAACCGTCTGCATAAAAAAAATCAACGACAACGCCTCGCGGGCCTCTTGAGGCCCGCGCACACACGCACCCTCTAGTTAATATTATAAACACGAAAGTTTGTGAGTATGGATGGATGGGTGGATGTTTGTTCCTCTGTCACTCAAAAACTACTGAGCGGATTTTGATGAAACTTTACAGTAATATAGCTTATACATCAGAATAATACGTAGGCTATAATGTAAGAAGATATTATGTAAATTGGGTTAAATATAAATGTATGCGATGCAGACAAAGTTGTGCGGATCAGTTAGTTGTTAATAAAATATTAACACATTTTACAGCAATATCCCTCAGACATATTATACCTGAGACTAATATATAATTATAGCATACTCATACACGTGGTTGTTATCATAATGTATATTGTATAATTTGAAGAAAAAGTATATTTTTTTTTATTAAGTAATAAACACGCGTAACAATATTTGAATTGAAAAAAAATAATTTACTAATTAAATAAAAAAAATGCATCAAATAAAAATATTAGACAATCGAAAAAACTGTTAATGGAATTTTACCTTTTTTTTTATTATAAAATATTTTGGTTCTTTTTTGTTTGTAACAACTTTATTGTACAGTAAAACAAAGGAAACAAAGATCTTAAGAAATAAGTTCTACAATGGCAGACTTATCTCAAATTTGGGATTTCTTCCATATATTTTTTGTTAAAAGAAAATAACATCATGAAATTATCTACTAAGATACGATTTTTTTAAGATATAAAAGTTATCTTTACAAAATATTGTATGTATAAAATATCTTACCCCATCTTTTCCCTGTGCGGCCCAGGAATGTTCTCTCCTCTGGATTCCATATCGCGTATTGTATTTGCTGAAGGAAGGGTCTCTGTGGAGGGCGCCGGCAGTAGTTTGCCACGCCGTTTGGCTTATCCGCGCCCATCGTGACAGATCCACCGCCGCAAACTGACTGGTCTACTACAGCCTTGCAATGATTACTACAGTACATTTCAAGATTGTAAACATATCTTGCCTACATCCGTTGTGTCTCTGAGAGACTATATAATTTGACAGTTGCAATAGCAAAGTGAGTAACAAGCGGAAAAGTCCTCTTTGCTTGTGAAAATTAGCATAGGTTCCCATAAGAAGTATGTAACTGCTTCATAATAATTGACTGCTTGGTGGTTTAGCGACTTAGCATATCGTTTTACCTTAGATGTCACGAATTCGATTTCTAGCGAGGTTTGTATTGGTCTGGATGTTTTTATATAAAGAATATTTTTAATTATTCCATCAATTATCTAGTATCCATAACTGGCTTGACACATCGACATTTAGTTCCAATGTCGATGTGTGAGTTATACAGAGGTTTTAGGAATTATTATTAATATAACGTATATTAATAATAATGATAACCCGTCTATAATATCTGACAGGTTAGTCTAAGACATTGGCAACTGATTTACACACCGTCGTCACACAGTAACCTTGTGTATACAATTTATATGTGAGTATATTTGTATCAGACGTGATTGTTTATCACGTCTGAAACAAATCATCATGAATAGTCATCGCAGTCTCTTCAAATAATTTGGTTTGTCATCGCCATGTCGTCTTCTCATCACCATAGTCAGAACTACAATATAACACACAATTTTTTTTATTGTCGCCCAGATTCGAACTTGCGACTTTTGATATAAAGATAATAATGATATAAGTAAAAGTAAATAACTTGACTATGTGCACAGATAGACTGTTACATACGCTTTCTACGAGACATCCGTAGGCATTAAACTCAGATATAACACTCTGGCACATCTAAATATTTAATCTGGGTCATATCTTACGCCGCCCAAATCTGGTGACAACCGGCATGCGTGCCGCCCTACGCCCTGCCCTAGCTTGACAATTAGCTTTAGAAGTGTTTATTACGACCTCGTGAAGCATCAGTAGGTAGGAATAAAGATAATATTTTGAGGAAGGTGTTTCATATGAACGTAGATGGTTATAAGAGCAGAGGAACGCCGAAAAAGATATGGATGGACTGCGTGAAAGATGATATAAGGTAAGAAAGGTATTAAATAACGAGAAGATATTTTAATTTTGATACTCCTTGTTCACCAAATTCTGCCTCCATCAGCTTCTTTTAGAGTTTTATATTAGTTTTAAAGCAATCAAGATGTTGTCGAACTGGTGGGAAACTCGCCTATATACATGAACATCATCAGACAATACATAGTCATGTGAAGCCCTGATTGTCCACATATGCTATTCTTGATTACCCCGTAATTGAACTGCCATATCTCACCAAGATTTTAAACTACTATATAAAATGCTGCAGGAAAATATACACAAACAAACAATAATAACTCTTTATTACGCACATTAAAATAAATACAAACACAGAATATGATAAACAGTGCATTTTCAAAAGGTGATCTTATCACTATAAGGCTGCTAACATACAGCCGGTCGGTCGTTCGGTTGAACGAATAGTACTAAAGTTGTGATACACTCCAATTGATGCAGCACCGCGGAGGGCGGATCATGACAACCGAAGCCAACTGTATATCAGCGGTCTTAATAATCTCTTATAAACAATTTTGTACAATATTGTTTTTTACGACAATTGTTTACAACTAATATAACCTCTATGACATATAGAAATAAAACACATTATCAAATAATACGGACAATATAATTTATAAATGCATACGTCGCAAGTTTACTCCAATTGTACTGTACTGGGTTAATTATAAAAGGTATACTAAACTAAAAAGCGTTGTTCACACCATTTCTACTAATACAGACTATTTCAAAACGTGTGACGTCAAAATAGGAAGGAGTCTCACAATGTGACCAACTGTGACCAAGATGAGATGTCCGAAACTTCATAAAATTCATGTGACGTAAACCATTAATGCTTCATTATATCATTCATCATTATTATAATCATCATTTTATCCTTCATTATTTACATCACAATTACGGAAAGTTTTTGAAACATCTTTTATTGAATAATAAATAATTATTTCATTATTTTTAACGCAAATTTCAGAGCCGTATAACTTTTCTGTTTATGAACTAATTGGAATAAAATAAGTACATAATTGTATTTGTGGAAAATACTTAAAATTTACAGCGCTGACAATATTATCTGATTGCACTAATAGTGCGTAGCGGTTTCTATGTTGATTATCGCATGCCTCTTACTTGTTACTGTGTAATTAATTCTTTTAAATAACATATTCATAAGATTAATAAACAAGTTTCTTGCTCATTCTTCTTGTGATGAATCTGCGTTCCGAATGAGTGATAGAAACAAAAATATGACTATACAAAAGTGCTTGTATTCAGTTTATTTGAATAAAGATTATTTCTATTTTAAACATTACATTTTAAGTGAAGTTCATCACAATACACTACGTGGTAATCACACCTGAAACGGAGAAGCCGTTTCCGAGTGTAGTGCACACAAAAGCACCGACTAACAGACATTAATATATCAAACAGACAACATTAACAAATATCGTTTCCCATTATATGATCACGGCTAGTGTAACCTAGTCAATACGTTGAAAGAAATAAATATATTATCCACAATAAAATTATTGTTAATAATACGTGGATGTACTCACCCAATAACTGCCTTTATACGTACGGTCTTTACGTGAATAGGCTTTCACACAGGAAATAATGTGCATGTAAATATAGACAAAGAAAACGGGAAAAACCACGTGCGCAAACAGTTAGCGCATTCCCGCGTACAACAATCGTGAATGTTTAGCGCCTTTTTTAAATAATTAAATGTCATTGCAAAATGGCGGATATCTAACTATTGACCAAAGGCATAATTGTAGATTTATTGTCTGCCTTTTTTAAATAATTAAATGTGTTTGCAAAATGGCGGATATCTAACTATTGACCAAAGGCATAATTGTAGATTTATAGTCTGCCTTTTTTAAAGAATTAAATGTGTTTGAAAAATGGCGGATATCTAACTATTGACCAAAGGTATAATTTTTTTATTTATAAATCTTTAATTGTCTGTGGGATATAAAATCTGTGGAATCTTACTAACATTATAAACGTGAAAGTTTAGTACTCTTTCACGCAAAAACTACTTAACGGATTCTGATAAAACTTCACAGTAATATAGCTTATACATCAGAATAACTTATAGGCTATAAATTTCATGTAGGTAAAACCGCGGTACAGCTAGTATAAAATATTTTTTTAAAAGAAAATGAAATAACATGAAACATACGCGCTATTAGGCGCTAATTAGTGAACACAGAAAATAGTAAAATACAATCACTCACGTTTGCGCGCGCTGGAATTCACGCGCTAAATTTCACGCGCTAGTGAGCGCGCATGAATGAATGTATCGTGTAAAGGCAGCTAATAATATTTTTTCTCGTATACCTTTCATGTACACACGGCGATCATTTACATTTTTAAATATATATGTACAGATTTCAGTTAGTACTAAAATTTACTAATTAGGAATTACAGGTACATTAGGTGGTATTTTCTTCTGGATTCTCCGTGGCGGGATTTGTATCGTGTATGTGTAATTGGATGCGAGTGTACCCGGAGGCTTCTTTTATACTTTTGTTGTACACTATATTTTTGGCCCACGCCCTACATCGAACTGTAAATGGAGTGTTCACTGAAACAATTATAATTGAATTATGTGATTTATCGTCTTAGAATTGTAATGATGAATATTTTTAAATGGATGACAATGTACTGGTTCACCGGCGGGGCACTAGTGGGGCGTGATAAGATGAGCATGAGATCAGGTCAAAATAAATATTTTTATTCATGTAGGTCTATTACAGACTCTTATGATATGTCAAATCTACAGTCATTTCAGAATGATTTCGAGATGAGAAGAACTGACAAGAATCTCAGCTTATATTCTTTTCACATAAATGTTGTATGTATTTAAAATAATACATATTCATTTTTTCTTTTTTCAAATTTGGGAAAATAGAGTGACCACCAGCATATGCTATTGCAAAAGCAAATAAACTAATCAGTGTTCGTAACCCGACAGATCAGTCCCCACAAGCACCCTTTCACGTGTATGACGAATAAGCCAGCCATCATTGCACTCAACCATATTAGAGGGAGCACATTAACTTGGCCCACCACGCCGTTACAAGTTTCAACTTTATAGCGAGCATGACTGTTTCAAGTTACTCCAATACGTCATTTATATATATATATATATATATATATATATAGTACATATTTACAGTATAGGCTGTAACAACACAGTTTTCCCCATTACAATATTTTAATTACATTATTTAAATAACAATGTAATTAAAATAATTAATGTTATTAATATATATTACACATAGAAAACACCCAGACCGATACAAACAATCATACTCATGAATACAAATGTTTGTGCCGTGCAAGGAATCGAACCCGCGACCATCGGAAGAAGGCGGTGTGCTAAATCGCTAGACCACCGAGGCCGTCGTATATTATATATCTATCTATTCAAAACTTACCTGGTGGCGTGAATGTGACAGCCAGTATCGGACTCGGATGGTCCCCCACGTTCTGAAATGGGTACCTGCCCAATAGCGCCATGCCCCACGGGTACTGAATTCTAGAAGAATTTGTATTGCTCCCTTCTTCAGCGCAAGACACCCATACTTGCTTGAGCTGTCACAGATTGTTAATATTTTGAATGGCAAAAAAGCTGAGAGAACATTTGATGGTAAACGGTAACCGTCGCATATATGAGAGATGACCACCACTACGGATTGTTGTGACACTCGCGATATCAGGAACCTGGAATATCGTATGATTCCAGAGGAGTAAGATGTCATGCCTCCTGCAATATCACTGCCAAAACTGCATCCTACATCCGAAACACAGCTCACAAGGTTTAGCGGCTCAGGTCGGCGACTAAAATAGGTGAGACTAGGGTACCTGACGAAATAGGGAGACAACTTCTTGCAGTTTATCTATGGTAAACCTTTTGTAGCCCATCGGAAACTATACATTACTAGAATATATACCCATATAATATTGTACAAGATCTGTGTTATTTTCGTACATTAACTAACATTTCTAGCCATTTTATTCATTTTTATCGGGATATAAAAAAAATATATATTTATTAATACACTTGAGCATGCTAATTCTGTATATTTGGTACTGCACTTATACACGCTAATCTCAAATGAGTTTTAGCTTAACAGATGCTAACAAATGATATTTTTTTACTATCTGATGGGTCGTATACTTGTTTGCCACCACAGTAGGGTAAGTGTTCGCCACTATCGTAGTGTAACAAAAAAATATAGTTTAACAAAATCAATCAAACCTTGTCGGTAGTTTTGATGTAGTCCTGGAGCGCATCGGGCATGTCAGCAGGGAGGTTGTTGACATCATCATAGTATTCTGGCACCCAATCGAATATCTGCCAAAAAGTGTGTAAATTAACATTGAATTGTAAAGATTCAACACTGCAAAATTATTATATATGTAAAACTGTGTACCCTGTTTCGACCGCGGGAAATTTGTAGCTTATGTGTCATTCTGATGTATAAACTATATTATTGTAAAGTCTAATTAATATCTATAGAGTAGTTTTTGCGTGAAAGAGAAGAAATATCCATACATTCATCCATCGGAACTCACAAATTTTCGCGTTTATATGTTAGTAAGATAGGAATGACAAACAAACTAACTGCCTATCTTTTGGTGCTACCATATAGAGCCCATCCATTCACATTACACATTAAACAGAAAGAGACTTGAAAAAGTGTGATATACATATATAGTACATAGTACAATGACATTAAAACAAGACATAAAGTTTCAACGCTGTAATATGATTATGTACGTAACTTGAATGCGAAAGAATCTGACTGTCCATCTGATTGTGCCATAGGGGCCACCCGTAAATTACGCAACTCTTCTAGAAAAGAGTAACGCATTTTCTACGACATATTTTGGGTATACAGTAGGGAGGTATGACATTTTTTTCCTCTAGAATAGCAACACATGAGCAGCACTGGTGTGACATAACAATAATGTCCGTAGTGCTGTTCATATACATAGACAACAGTTTTCACTTACCATTAAATGCCGTCGATTTGTTTATCATTCCATCTTACATAAGAAACGTTCCAAACCAGCAGCGTGGTACTGCTTTGTGTATATTGTAATGACAAATTTATTAGGGTTATTCTGTTATTTTTAGCTGAATGCAGGGGTGCAACCGGCACGTGCGACCGACGTTGCGTCGTGTTGGCGACAAATAACGATCACGTAACATGTTAGTTATTACGCGGTTGGATTGGAATTAAATGGGAAACATTAGTGCAAAACAGTGTAAATTTTATAAACAATCAATTTAGATTGTAATAGTTCCACTGTATAAAAAGATATAACAACAATTAGTTTAAAGGAACAAGATAAGAAAATAATAATATAAGTTAAAAGGAATAAACGAAAGAAATTAAAGATACGATCACAAAAATGTTAATAACTTTTACTAATATTATAAACCCGAAAGTTTGTGAGTATATATAGATGTTTGTTACTCTTTCACGCAAAAACTAGTGAACGGATTTTGATGAAACTTTACGTTAATATAGCTTAAACATCAGAATAAGAGAACTTTTTATAGTTTATATGGAAAAAAATATTTATAAAATGTTTAAGCTCTTAATTAGCATTTAGATGACATGCTCTTTCAGCAGCGTGCGCGATTTAGCGCGGGAAAGACAGCGCGCGCAAATGTGAGGGATTGTACTTAACGTATGTTTCATGTTATATGGCCATTATTTTTATTTCACAGTTTTCATATTCCAGAGACAAGTTTAAGATTTATTGAAAACTCTAGAATTATGTTTTTACTTTTCATGTCCTATCACAATTTTTTTTTATTTCACAGATTTCATATTCCAGATACAAGTTTAAGATTGATTAAAAACTCTATAATTATGTTTTTACTTTTCATGTCATATCACTATTTTTTTTTTCATTTCACAGAGTACATACTCCAGAGACAAGTTTAAGATTGATTAAAAACTCTATAATTATGTTTTTACTTTTCATGTCCTATCACAATTTTTTTTTATTTCACATATTCATAATCCAGAGACATGTTTAATATTTATTGAAAACTCCAGAATTATGTTTTTACTTTTCATGTCCTATCACAATTTTTTTTTATTTCACAGGTTTTGTATTCCAGAGACAAGTTTAAGATTTATTAAACTCTATAATTATGTTTTTACTTAGACGGATGTCTACCGTTTAGCAATAATAATTAATTATTTGAAAAAGGCATTAAAGCACGCACGAGTAAAATACGCGGGAATACAGGCGTAAAGGTAAAGTAATAAGTAAGTTAAAAATAAAGTAGGAAGTAAAAGTTCACAGGCAGCGCGTGAATTGTCATTCCCTTTGTCTACATTTACACGCAGTTTCCTATGTGAAAGCCGATTCGCACGTGAAAGAGCACGTGTAAAGGCAGCTATTGTCAAAGTAACTTTACCTTGTTCAGTTTGATAAAAATGCACGGCGAGAATGGAAATCCGAAGTTATCTTCACTGGTACATTCTGTGATGCCTCCCCTCCATACCTCATGCGCGTACGCTGAAACCGGAAGTTCGTATATAACCATGGACAACTAATATGAAGCCATGTTTTTTATGTAAATGGCAAACAAGCTGTCGGTCCATTTTTTTTTATAACACAGAGGACAAACGAGCATGCGGCTCACCTGATGGTAAGTGATTACCGCCGCCCATGAGCACCCGCAACACCAGGGGAATTGCAAGTACGTTGTTGCCATTTGATAGCAAGTATGTATTATATTTTTTTTAGATGATAATGGAATGGTGAACTGAAGTTCTTATCATACTCCACCGGCGAGGTACCAGTGCAGTATGACAAGAAGAGCATGATGTCAGGTCAGTTAGCCCATCGTGACAAATTCACCAAGAATTTATCATGATGGTTTCCAGGGGGAATCGAGTGAGTCAACCAACATGGTACATTGCTAGCAGTATGATCATCAGCTCCCATTACTAATATATTGCCATTACTAATACATATATATGTAGGCTACCAACCTCCTTGCATAAACTAGCCATATAACACAAACACATTTAATAAAAAGTATATTGTCGAAATGTCAAATTAATTCGCTTGCAAATTACTGATCTAAATGAGTTGTTAAATTAATTATTATTTGTTATTTTTAATTCTGATATTATATACACCGTCATATATTCAATCTTTTATTAATATCACTCCTTCTGTATATCAACACGCCAACCATAACCACACTGGTGACACCCTATTGAACATTTTTATTTGGAAAATTTGGAAGATAAAATATGACAGAGAGCAGCACTACATCTACAGTACGAGACGGTATGTCATCTGAAACATAACCACATATAATATATAACAAAACATGTCGCGGGTAACTGTTAGTTTAGAATAAAATTTCAACAGTACAATTTGTTACATAGAGTCCATTTCAGTTTCATTCTTATAAGGGCAGTGTCAAATTCTAAAGCGTAATAAAATGAGTTGATCAGTACTTAGCACATACATATATATATTTCATGGAAATTCGACAACATTAGAGTCTGCCTGTGATCTTAAAGTATTAAACAATTGCTTCTCAGTATATGTAACTTGATATCAGAGTATACGGTAGCATAGCGTGCAGGGTTACCAACATTTAAATGTTAGTTAAACATTTCGTGTATAGACTCTCTAACCTCCTTTTTCAATAAATATTGATTATTAATTACAGGGGTGCCAACATTATAACATTAGTTACTGACAATAATAGTTTATTTCTTATGTTTTGTATTCAATTCATTATATAAAAATGTTTTCGACTGAAGGACTTGTATCCATGGTCATGAATAAAGCATTATTAAAAAAAAAATTAAAAAAAGTTACTGACAGCCTTGGTGTTCTAGCGATTTAGCAGACCGCTTTGCTTCCGATGATCGCGGTTTCGATTACTCGCACGGTACAAACATTTGTATTCATGACTATGATTGTTGGTTTTGGTGTTTTCTTGTATATTATGCATGAAGTTAAAAAAAAATATCTATGCATCTACAAAAAATATCACTTATCTAGTACCCATAACACAAGCTCTGCTTAACTTGGGACTAGATGGCGCTGTGTGAATTGTCTTGGATTATTATTTTTGAAATATTGACTCACTAATCTCCTTTAAAAAAAAATGGAACACAGACACAGGATAAAAAAATAGGCCAAAAGGATGTCGCCACAAAAGAAGCGGCAGATAATACTATAAATTTGAAAACAACTGCTTTTTAAAAGGATAATAAAGGAATGGTGCACCCTCCTGCACTAACGGTTTACGCTGGCGGGGCACCAGTGGAGGATGATAAGAACATGAGGTCAGGTCAGTTAGCCCATCGTGACAAATAAACCAGGAATTTATCATGATAGATAAATAAATAAGTTAAAATCTCCTACACTCGTGTGTGAGGACGAAAATGTTTTTATAACACCAAAAATCTCGTATCGTAATATACGAGACTTCTCGTATTGTTGGCAACCCTACGAATCAGGGTTGCCAAAGCATATAAGGCGACCTTCGAAATCAATAGGTGTAGTGTGTCAGAAGTAAACATATTGATTTCTTATTAAGATTTGATATAATACAATTATTAAGTTGAGTTATACAGGATGTTTGGAAGATGGGTGCAACTTTAACGGCTTGTTAATATGGACCACTTAGAACCGTATTTGACCATGCTTAGCGTACGTGACGTACGATTTTATTTTTTACCGAATTTCTACTATTTACGTTGTAAAACCCCCAAATTTCGCAATTAATTGCAAATAATGATCTGGAAGATTGAAAGAAAATTATTAACTTGAAACCCCTGTTACAAATGTATCTCATGATACAGATATGTACATCAAGTTTTATTTGATTGATTACACATTACTTAACTCTAAAGATGGTTACTCGATAAAATGCATTAGTATAAGTTCTATATTGTAAATTTAGTTAAATTGTAAATTAAGTACCTAGTATAAGTAAAAATGAGTGTCCTTATCCAACATGCTGCAAAGCTGTTTGGCGATAATTGTAAAAATAAATTGTATATATGTAATACTCATAAATAAATTTAAAAAAAATCACTTATCTTCCATAATAATACATGTACCCCCGGCCGAAGCCGGGCGAGTAGCTAGTATTTATATAGATTTGAAAATTTATTTCACTGTTAGAAAGGTATATTATCCCCTTTTTTTTCTTGTTTCAGATTACTCTAATGCTGTTGGCCGCAGCTGGCCTTTACAGCTTAACCGGACGATAGAAGGCGAGTGCAGATGGCACTCCAAACCAAAGGAAGGCGGAGCTTATGGAGCGGCTGAAGGCCAACTCCCGCCTGACGGATACGACTTTAGTCTGAGGGCACCGCTGGGGTTTCGAACTTCGGAGTAGGCCGTAATATCGATTCCCGTTTGAATTGGGCGGGGATCGCTCGGAGGGGGTATATTATCCCTTGACTAATATAACTAGATAGGCCCCTAAGTAAATTTAGTCCAGGGTCCCCACAAATTCACGATCCGCTCCTGGTTAATTCACAACAATCTTATTTATCTCTGATCAACGCGACGGTTGACTGGTAGAGAATGCCATCAAGCATTAAGTCCGCTATAAATATATTTTTGTGTGTAAAAGAATATATATATAAATAAATGAATATTTTTATAGTAATCGAATATCTTCTAAACTAATGTTATATACATTTTTACAGTTTTACAACAAACTCCCAGAGTCTATAGTCAAATTGCCAGAAAAAAATTCAAATGTGTCATAAAATATTTTCTTTGTAAAAAAGCTTATTATAAAATTGAAGAATTTACAAATGATAAAAATGTTTTCGTAGAAAATATCTAACTTAAAATTCATAGCGCTGACAGTGTTATCTGATTGAACAGAGATTAAGTGCGTAGCGGTTTCTATGTTGATTGTCGCATGCCTAATCCTTGTTGTTAATTAAATATAAGTAAATCAATATTTATTTAAAAGAGTAACACACAAGTTTCTTACTTATTCTTCTTGTGATGAATCTGTTTTCCGAATAAGCGGCAGAATAAAAAAACTTGGCTATTCAAAAGTGCTTATATTAAGTTTATTTGAATAAAGATTATTTCTATTTCTATTATAAACATTATATTAATCATTCATTACCCAATTACATACATTACGTGTCGACCAGTTTAAATGTTAAATATTGGGCCCGTACGAAGCCGGGGCGGACTGGTAGTAATCAACAGTTATACGGGGAGAAAGGTAGTTAGTTAGTAGTGTAGACTGGTGGTCTTATTGCTAGCAATGTACCATGTCAGGATGACCTCTACGCAGTTCCCCCTGAAACCATCGTGATAAATTCTTGGTGAATTTGTCACGATGGGCTAACTGACCTGACCTCATGCTCATCTTATCATCCTCCACTGGTGTACCGCCAGCTTAAACCGTTAGCGCAGGCGGGTGCACCATTCTATTGTCATCCATAAGAAAAACCTCTGAGGCGTCTAAAATAGCTACGACTTTTTTACTTCCTTATTATTCTTCATCAGGTGATTCACTCACCTGACCTCATGCTCATCTTATTATTCTCGACTGGCGCCCTGCCAGCGTAAATCAATAGCGCAGGAGGGTGCATCATTATCATCCATAAAAAAACATAAATATACGTACCCTCTAAGATCTCATCGAGCTGACTTGTATACACGTCAGAGGAGTTTGCCTCAACACTGTACTCCACCACGGTGCCTTCCTGACCACGAGGTCGGTACGTTAATCCCGGATTAGCCCCTGAAATTATTAGAAACTTAATCAGATGAAAACAAAGATATTGATTTTTTTATGTACATAGATTTGTATATCTTTATATATAAAAATTACACCTCACGTTGTTTGTCCGCGATGGACTCCTAAACTACTGAACCGATTACAAATTTGATTTGCACATTGTGTACAATTTAGTTTTTTATTTTTTAGACAAAATTTTTAATTTCTATTTTTTTATGATAGAACATACAAATATACATACAATCCTAGATTTTCACCCTTCTATCATCTATTTTTTTATAGCGTTATTAATTTATATGGCAAAACAACGTTTGCCGGGACAGCTAGTCTTATATATAAAATTCTCGTGGGGTACGAAACCCCTAAATATATTTTATTTATTTTTTCGACATATTTTATTATTATTTAGGATTGATAAATACATACAACCCTATATTTTCACCCTTCTAGCATCAACCCCTATTTTTTAATAGCGATTTTAATTTATATGGCAAAACAACGTTTGCCGGGAGAGCTAGTAGTATATTACATTATTTTATTTAATTCCCCTACAATTAGCATATGTGAGATCATAGCATAAATATTCAGTGCGGAAACTCGACTACCGTTACAAACTTCTCTAATAGTGATCAAATTCCGACCGTTATTGAATCTACACTCGTATTGCCACACGTTTCGCCTCTGAACTAGGCATCAGGCATTAAATAGAGTTTAGATATAGCTTCGAAATAGGGTGACCAGACGGTCGGGTAATCCGGGATTGTCCCGAAATTTTGCGTCTTGTTCCATGTCCAGTAATTAGACCTTGTTGTCCCAAATTCTGAAAACCTACTAGTTTTGTAACAAAATATACTAACAACGAACGACGCGGCCTGTACTAAATTGTATTTTAAAATTATAACTGGCAGTGGGGAAAGAGAAGATTGTTAGTAATGTGGACTCATGACCCCACTACTAGCAATGTACCATGTCAGGTCGACCTCCACGCGGTTCTCCCTGGAAACTATCGTGATAAATTCCTAGTGAATTTGTCACGATGGGCTAACTAACCTGACCTCATGCTCATCTTATCATCCTCCACTGGTGCCCCGCCAGCGTAAATCGTTAGCGCAGGCGGGTGCATCATTCCATTATCATCCATAAATAAAAAAAAAATTATAACTGGCGTTAATACGTACATAGATACCTATGTAATAAAAATATGTATTTGAGAATAAATGGCATTTTCCTTTTCGATTATTATGGGACACAGTTACCTAGATATATCAAAATAATGATTGCAATGTAATATGGCTAGTAAGACAAATTCAATATTGTCATCTGATAAGCACTGCCGTGTCTGAACTGTGTCGCCCCACCTTACATTTTCCTATTGTCATTTAGTATATAAGATCATTATTTCTATATACATATTGTCTGTCTATTATCATCTGCAATATACATCGTCTCTACCAACAACATCGTATAATTATCCCGCAACACTTTTCGGAATAAAAAAGCAAGATTATTTTTACTACGGCCAACCAAACACTGTCCTACAATTGTCCCGGATTTGATAAGTTTCTATTTATTATTAACTTATTTCAAACGTCAAGCAATTTGTTTTGTAACATGTGTTTCAATTGAAAGGTCAGATAAAGCAGTGGAATTATAGGATGGAGGCATTACATCTTAGTCGTCCGAAATGGTAACACTTGAGTGGTATTACGACCGTCATATGATTACATGATAGGGTGGTATAGGCCGTTAATATATACTAAAGACGACTGGCAACCCTATTTGGAAGCCTAGTGTTGCCAGTTTGGTTAAACCTCGGCTGGAAATTCTAGTGTTTACCTATGAGTGAACTGTGCAGAGTGTATGAGGGCCTGCTGAAGTCCAGACTGAGGAACAGCCCGCCCATGCACAGAGCGAACATTGCAGCCAGCACAGCGTAGAACACCAGGTAAAACGTTATCACGATACCTGCACATTATAAAAAAAATAGAAATAATAGTTATTCAAATAAACTCAATACAAGCACTTTTGAATAGTCATATTTTTTATACTACCACTCATTCGGAACGCAGACTCGTCACAAGAAGAATGAGCAAGAAACTTGTATTTTGGTCTTTTGAATAGATGTTTTTTTATATAAATAACTAGCAACTCGCCCCGGCTTCGCACGGGTGTACATGTAATATACATATGAATAAAATTGGAGTGTCTGTTTGTAATATTGAAATAACCGTCTCTTACTACATGCATATGAATATAAATACGGTACATACACCAAAATAACAGTCTCTCTGTCTGTTGTTGGCAGGTAGGTGATTTAATAAGGAGTAACTTAGGAGTGTTAGGAGTTAGGGAGTAAATTCCACGCAGGCGAAGTCGCGGGCAACAGTTAGTCATCCATAAAATTATATCTTATATTTATTATATCTTGCCAACAAAACTGTTCAGTTTAGCGAGTCATTGTATAAAAATAAATGTATTTAATAAAGATAGGTAGGTAGGTAGGTAGTAATAAATATATTTAAAAAAAACCATGTACAATATCTGCAAACAGACAGCCAGACACACTATCATATTTATAATACAAGCTGGACCTGCGACTTCCTCGGCGTGGAAATTAACAAAAAAGTTAATTAGCGACTTTTTATAAAATAAAAGTAACCTAAGTTACTCCTTATTACATCAGCTACTTGCCAAAAAGAGTCCCGTCAAAATCGGTCCAGCCATTTCAGTGAATAGCCGGAACAAACAGACAGACATATAGACAAAAATTGTAGAAAATGTTATTTTGGTGTATGTAAATAACATTTTTTACCATTTTTGTCTGTCTGTTTGTTCCGGCTAGTCTCTAAAATGGCTAGACCGATTTTGACGGGACTTTTTTCGTAGGTAGCTGATGTAATAAGGAGTAACTTACTATTAGCTACTATTATTTTAAAAAAATAAAGTTAATATCGACGCGGACGAAGTCGCGGGAACTGCTAGTTAGTGATAAAGTAGATACGTAATGTTAATGTTATTATGTATGTATGTGTGTACAGTACGATCGCAGCTAACATAAACTGAAGTGAAGAGACGGTCACAGCTAAATCTGTGTCAGATAAAAATAATTTACAAAAGTATAAAGTGTATTAACCTCTCTCAAAATAAAATGTTTCACGCATAGTTTTCGGATGGAAGTCTTGCCTTCTTTTATTTTGTGCCCACAGTACGGAAATTGTATGTCTTACTAAACAATTACATAGTTTGTTTAATTTCGATCCTATTACCATGTGTGAGACCACAAATATTCAGTGAGGGGAAGGGGATTTTTTTATGGTTGACAATGGAATGGTGCACCCGCCTGCCCTAACGGTTTACGCTGGCGGGGCACCAGTGGAGGATGATAAAACGAATATGAGGTCAAATCAGTTAGCACATCGTGACACCCGCCTGCCCTAACGGTTTACGCTGGCGGGGCACCAGTGGAGGATGATAAAACGAATATGAGGTCAAATCAGTTAGCCCATCGTGACCCCGCCTGCCCTAACGGTCTACGCTGGCGGGGCACCAGTGGAGGATGATAAAATGAATATGAGGTCAAATCAGTTAGCCCCTCGTGACACCCGCCTGCCCTAACGGTCTACGCTGGCGGGGCACCAGTGGAGGATGATAAAACGAATATGAGGTCAAATCAGTTAGCCCCTCGTGACACCCGCCTGCCCTAACGGTCTACGCTGGCGGGGCACCAGTGGAGGATGATAAAACGAATATGAGGTCAAATCAGTTAGCCCATCGTGACAGTTCATCAGGATGGTTTCGAGGAACCGCATGGAGGTCAACCTGTCATGAGTCCACATTACTAACATTTCCCGAGGATTCGAGAGATTCGAGGATTGTTAGTAAAGTGGACTCTTCATTTCTCATTTACCGTGGATACCATAGAATAGAATAGAATAGAATAGAAAATCATTTATTCAAATAAACTTAATTTAAGCACTTTTGAATAGTCATAACAATTTGTTTTTTATCTACCACTCGTTCGGAAAGCTGTCTCATCACAAGAAGAACGAGCAAGAAACTTGTGTGTTGCTCTTTTAAATAATCCTTGTAAGTTTACATTTACAAGTCGAAACGTGTGAATACAAACTACCAACAAGCACTAATTTTTGGGTCAAATATAAATATGCAATAAGATTAAATCAGTCGTAGTGATAAGAGCAGACCAGTCCCTACAAGCAGCACTCGTTCACGAGTATGACGGATGAGCCAGCCATCACTGCGCTCGACCATATTTTAGGGAGCCCATTGACCCGGCCCACCACGCCGCCACATGTCTGGACATTTTAGTGAGCATGACTACTCATTCCACACGACCACGTCACAGCTATAAAAATTACTATATGGTAGTTACAGTATTCGCACTTTACATAAGGATGCATGCGGCAATCAATACAAAAGCCGCTACGCTATCATATATCAAGAAAGCAGTATGAAAATTAAAATTATAACATTGTCCGCAAATAAACTTATTCTTGCTATATATTGCTATCATCTATAAATTCATCTATCTTATAATAGGCTTTTTTACATAACATTTGTTTAATATAAGATTTGAATTGCCTCTCTGTAAGATTTAGCGTAGACTCTGGCAGTTTATTATAGAATCTTACGCAATTACCATAAAATGAATTACTAACTTTGTGTAGACGGCATTTAGGTAAAATTAGCTTATTTTTATTGCGTAAGTTTCTACTTGTACAGTCTTTAAGTTTCTTGAAACTATCTAAGTTTTTCCTTGTATACATAATATTTTCATAAATGTACTGTGAGGCAACGGTGAGGATATTTGATTGTTTAAAGCATTGACGTAATGACTCTCTAGAACCCATACCATAAATAGAACGTATGGCTCTCTTTTGTAAAATAAATATAGTATTTATATCGGCAGCTTTACCCCATAGCAGTATGCCATATGACATAATGCTATGGAAATAACTAAAATATACAAGTTTTGCCGTCGCCACGTCTGTTAATTGCCTTATCCTTCTAATTGCATAAGCAGCAGAACTAAGTCTACTGGCTAATTTTGAAATATGGGGCCCCCATTGTAACTTCGAGTCCACTGTTATTCCTAAAAAAACTGTATCATTAACAAAATTTACTATTTCATCATTAAGCAATAGCTGCGTATTTACTTGTTTTACATTAGGCAGCGTGAATTTAATGCACTTAGTTTTGTTGGAGTTCAATAATAGATTATTACATGTGAACCAATTTAGTATAGCAGAGATAGCATAATTTACATCGTCTAATTGATTACATTGGCGACCAATTTTAAACACTAACGAAGTATCATCCGCAAATAACACTATATCTGCAACTTTCTCTACCTACTCTACCATCGTGATAAAGTCCAGGTGAATTTGTCACGATGGGCTAACTGACCTGCCCTCATGCTTATATTAACATCCTCCACTGGTACCCCGCCAGCGTGAACCGTTAGGGCAGGCGGGTGTCACGATGGGCTAACTGATTTGACCTCATATTCGTTTTATCATCCTCCACTGGTGCCCCGCCAGCGTAAACCGTTAGCGCAGGCGGGTGTCACGATGGTCTAACTGATTTGACCTCATATTCGTTTTATCATCCTCCACTGGTGCCCCGCCAGCGTAAACCGTTAGCGCAGGCGGGTGAATCATTTCATTATCATATAAAAAAAATTCAATACGGAAACTTGACCACCGATACTGAAAGCGTTACGACCTTCCCTATTTCAATGGAATATCTATACATATAAATAAAATTTGAGTGTCTGTTTGTAATATTGAAATAACCGTTTTTTACTACATGCATATGAATATAAATACGGTACATACACTAAAATAACATTATTTACAATTTTTGTCTGTCTCTCTGTTTGTTCCGGGTAATATCTGAAATGGCTGGGCCGATTTTAACGGTACTTTTATTGGCAAATAGCTGATATAATAAGGAGTAACTTTGGCTACTTCTATTTTAGAAATAAAGTTAAATTCCACGCGGACGAAGTCGCGCGTACAGCTAGTATTTTTAATTAGTGATGTTTCTTAAGGACTGTATTTTTAATATATTTTAATTTTAGTTCTAAGAGAAACTACGGTCGCTGAAGGTAAATACATATCCCATCAAAAACATAAATGTGAAATGATAGCCGAGTTTAATATTATGATATATGCCTTGATTGTTGACTTCTATGACAAAAGAGATGAGATCTAAATGGGTGCCAAGTTCAATGGTCTGTCCTGAAATGTATTTATAACAATATAAAATATCATTTCTTCTTATAACTTAGGATAATATACTGTAGCCTAAGGTCTAACTTGGCCAGTTCTCATATACCAATTATTACTTTCGATTGCTAGTTACTATTAATATTAAAATAGGAACCGACAAGTAACATGTTTAGAACTTGCGAAGGCTACAGTATATTTCGTATATGAAAACTAGCCAAGTTAGACCTTAGGCTACAGTATATTATCCTAAGTTATAAGAAGAAATGATATTTTATATTGTTATAAATACATTTCAGGACAGACCATTGAACTTGGCACCCATTTAGATCTCATCTCTTTTGTCATAGAAGTCAACAATCAAGGCATATATCATAATATTAAACTCGGCTATCATTTCACATTTATGTTTTTGATGGGATATCATTACTTTTTGTACATAAATTATACGAGGTACTTATTTATAACTAAATTAATACCAAATTATTTTTGATAAATTACTGTATTTTCGTATATTTACGGGGTATAATTGTCTTTTTTTTGTGTTATTTTCTATATTTTCTTGTAACTTTTAAATGTTCAAGTGCAATTCCAATTCAGTATCAGGAATTTTTGGGCAAATCGGGGCGGTATAACGTCCACAGATGGTTGTACTCTACAATAGAGCTCTCGTGACTTGGATCAAAATTGTTAAGACGTACTCCATCTAAGGTTTTA